GTGCGTCTGTGTGTGTGGGAGAAAGACTTTTAATTGGCTCTTTCTGAGTTGGGAATTTATACTCTGTCCAATCAGCTGTGGCCAGTGGTGAGTCACACTGGGCAGAGCTGCTGGGAAACCATCCCTATTGGTGAGGAGAGTCGTTGACATGGTCATGGTGAGCTGACACCTCCCTCAAAGTGTCTATAATTTCTTTAGAATAAATTCTGAGAAGAAGAACTCCTGGGTCCAAGGCCATAACCGCTCACCAGGTTAATGCCACCAATGGCAGGCCCACTGAACAGCAGGCGATGAAGATTTCAATTAGCTGGTATTCCCACTGGGATATTGGGCACCCACTTTGAGCAAGCTGTGTGCAGTGAGCAACTCTGCAGGAAGGACTACCTATTTCCTTGGAAAAAAGGCTTCAAACCTTTCCAAGTTCTGCAGCATAAAATACTGAGGGGAAAATATTTAGCTTGAAAAAAATGTAAAGGTAGGTGTTGTCTACGTAGTTGTCTTGATCTTAGAGAAATTTAACATGATGGTCCCTTTGGGAAAAAAACAAAGGAAACTTTGCTCTGCTTTCCAGCCCAGATGAACCAGTGTAGCCGTGCCTTTTGGTGCCATTCTGATTGGTGGAAGCCAATATTTTGTATATCATCCCTGAGTGAGACCTCTTTGGAATGCCTGGTTTTTAACTAAATTGTTTCTCAATGTATCCAACAATGAGAAATAGTGAGTGTATAGTACGCATTACACTTGTTTCTTTTCAAAGAGAGAGAAAGGATATATGAGTGTGTATTTGCTTCCATATACCTAAGCTATCCAAGAAACCACATACACTGAGTTGTTGACAGGGACAAGAACTGGGCAGCAAGGTGCCAAAGAGGCAGAGAGAATTTGAACAGTTATGTTCTTTTGTACCAATTTATCTAGTTTTTTTAAAAAAGGGAATATGGTTTTTTATGTATTCATACAAAATGATTTTTAAGTTACATATGTTTTATTATTTTTTTTATATTTTATTTATTAATTTTATTTTTGTTACAGATGTTTCTCCTTTTTTACCCCATTGACACCCTCCTCCCCATCCCCCCCCCCACCCTGTCCCCGGCTTTGTTGTCTATGTCCATTGGTTATGCATACATGCATATAAGTTCTGTGGTTTATCTCTCCCACCCCCCAGTAATATGTTTTTATTGACTTTTTTTAGAGAGGAAGGGGGAGAGAGAGAGAGAGAGAGAAACATTGATCGGCTGCCTCCTGCACATCCCCTACTGGGATCGAGCTGCAACCCGGGCATGTGTCCTGACCAGGAATCAAACTGGTGACCACTTGGTGCATGGACTGATGCACCACTGAGCCATACCAGCTGCGCCCCTGTAATTTTTTTCCTCTAAAATATTCAGTGGCTTTCAATCTATTCTCGCTAAAATCCAAATTTCTTGACATTGTCTTCTTTTTATAACTTGGTCTCATTATTTCCTGTCTGGAGCTTTCTGCTAGGCCTCAAGTGTTGCACCATCTCGACTCATAGCTGTGTGCTCTCTGGCATTTCTTTATTCTTCTCTTCCTCTTCCCCAGCCACCAGAAAGTAGCTCAGGTTCACATCTGCGAAGTTTTCCCTGAATGGTCTAGCCCTCTGCGACTTTTCTCTTCCAAATTTCTATAACAATACATTGTGTGCCCTACACATTTGGCCCTTACCCCCCACCCTCTTTCTTATCGAGGATAAGTGCACTCTGTCCCCAAGTAAGATGACCAAATCCTATGGGCAGTGGCTGAGTACGACAGTTTTCTAAAAGTCTTTTTTCCTGGCAGAGCCTTACACTTGGTTGATGTCTCAGTGATGCTTTTTGACTAATCTCTTTTTTGTGGAAATTTATTTCACCATATGCTTGCCGGATGTTGTTAAGAATCCCAAGCTGTATCATGACAATAAGAAATTGTGTATCCACCCAAAACCACCGTAGCAGAAAAAAGAGGACAGAGTTGAATTTTCTGGAAGCACATGGTGTTTGAACAGCAATATATATTTGTTTTTTTTGCAATATATTTTTAAATATAACATTTCTGGAAAACAAAATGCATGATAGAACTTTTCCTTCTTTTTCATTTTGGCTCATATATTTGGCTGCATTTTGGAAACTAAGCCCTATTTTCTGGTAACCATGGTGAATTAATTAGCTTTTTTGATGTTATCAACTGGTTCTTGAGATTCTCATTTTGAGTAAATGGAAGAGTTGGATTCAAATCTCAACAGGTCTGATCTCCGATCCATATGACTTCTATGCTTGCATACACAGCATTGCATTAAGCTTTAATAGAACAAATACATTCCTTGAGGAGCTTACACTGGATTGCATATTGATTAGTCTGTCCCTTACCTACTTAATGGCTGTGTATGTAGTAGGTGCAACTGTTTCTTGGGAAGGCTTAGAGTTAGAAAACAATACTTCTGAAAAAGGCTGATCTTTGAAACCCAAGCCAGTAAGAATGAAGAAGTAAACGGCAAACTATGAAAAATAATAGTAATAGTTTACCTTTGCTTAAGGCTTTACTTAGCTAGGCACTATATTTCAGGCATATTCTTTCTTCATCTTTACAAGAACTGATTGAGGTGGGCACTATTGTTTATTTTCTTTTACGCATGAGAAAAGAGACTCTGAGAGGCCAAACTACTTGACCATGATCAACTAAGTGGTAAAGCAAGAATTCAAGTGCAAAGCTTTTACCCCTGGGTTGCTGTGCTTAATCTTGACTTTATGTTACTATCTTTCCAAAGATTAGTCATATGGACAAGTAACTTACTGGCATACTTGTCTTACTCTCTCTAACTAGATCATAAAAATCTTTCAGTGGAAGATTGCACCTAATTTTCCTGTTTTCCCACGCACAAGCCATAGTGCAGGGGCTGCACATTGTCAAAACTCAACATTCCAGGATGAATAAATGCACAAATGGCTTTTATGGCTTATAATCATGTGTTAGTAAGATTATGATATTGAAATTCAAAATTCAGCAAACGAACTATGTACCAGGCAGTGTGAGGTGGTACAAGAGCATGAGTTTTGGAGGACTGTAAAGGATGTCCGTGAAGTGCCTGGCACACAGAGATGCCCATACCTGGTACTTTTCTTAATACCTTTATGTGATCTGATTTAATTGTTCTCACACACAACCTTGTTAGGCAGTGGATTAGTCAGCTCAGGCTGCCACAGACTGGGTGGCTTAAACAACAGAAATTTATTTTCTCACAGTTCTGGAGGCTCCAAGTCCCAGGTCAAAGTGTAGGCAGGTGAGACCTCACTTCCTGGCTTACTGAGAGCCTCTTTCTCATTGCGTCCCGGCGTGGCCTTTCCTCTGTGTGTTCACATGAAAAGAGAGCTCTGGTGTCTCTTTTTCTTTTTATACAGACACCAGCCCTATCAGATTAGGGCCCCACCCTTATGGGACCTTAATTACCTTATTTAGCTTTAATTACCTTCTTGAAGGTTGATCTGCAAACCCCTTCAGTGGGGGTTGAGGCTTCAATGTATACTTTTTTGGGGGGTGGGGAGCACAATTCAATTCATAACAAGTAGTTACTCCCTTCCTATTTTACAGATGGGGAAATAGATATTCAGGGGGATGTTTCTGCTCTTCTGGGAAGCCTGACTGTGCTTTCAGAAATGTCCACCACCCATATTGCCATAGGTTTCTTTCGTCCCTGCAATCTAAAAGAGCTCGATCCTCTCTAGGATTTTTTTCCCCTAAGAAAACAGAATCCAGAGCATCTTTTCTTTGGATGGTGCTGATGAAACCCTGAGAGTTGATTCCCCCCACCCCCCCGAATTCCTCACCTCTCTTCTAACTAGCTGAGACCATGGGGCTATAACATAATGGATTACATGGTTCCAATTTCCTGTACATCACAGAACAAGAACCACAGCATAGCCAGGTTTACCAACATCGGAACAAAGCTGGGGAAGGAAGGTTGTTTGGCATATAGCTAACCTTAGGTGGAATTATTTTGTTGCCTTCTCACCAGAAAGCATGTTATTCTCCATCTGATGACTTTGATATCATTATAACTCAATACTCTCTATTTCATAGCTTATGCCTACTCGTGCCATTTACTGCTTTATGTCTTGTATTCTCTCAGTCTTACCAGCTTCAGTCAAATTGTTATTTCTTTGTGTCTTGAGTTCTAATCTCACTCAGAGAGGATGTGATTTGTTCAACCAGTTAGCATCCCTTTAGGTCTCTGGCCAGTTTTCAGTCTAATTATATGTGTTGTTTCAGGACAATGGGAAGTTCTTTCATCCATCACATCTTGAGGAAAATACTCTGAGAATACACAAGGGCTCTATTCTAGTCCTGTGTTTACTTCTCTTCTATAAGGCAGTCCAATGTTGTTAACATTCAAATTCTGGGGTAAGAGTGTCTGGATTTAGACCCAGCTTCTAGCACTTACCAGCTATATGAACTCCGGTAAATATGCCTCAATGTCCTCATCAATAAAATAAGGATGGTAATAAATATTCCCTACCTCACCGAGTTCTGAGGATTCAGTAAGTTAAGGCATGTGAACATTTAGCACAAAGCACGCATATCGTAAGAGCTCAGTAAGTTTGTAATTGTAATTGATCGTCTGAGTGTGCTTGCCCACCAGGAAGGAGAATGTCAGCTCCTTTGCCAGGAATCTCTAATTGTAAACTTACAAATAAGCATTTAAGCTTTAAATTTTAAGGTGTCTGTTTCGTGGCTGACTAAATAACATGATTAACGAAAGCTGTTAGTTCCTGATGAAATTCATTCGCCAATTCCACAAGCGTTATTTACACAGACATTGGGGACGAAACCAGGGAATTCCGGGACTTCGGGGCGAACTTGAACCGCTGAGCGAGGGGAATCGACCACGCATGCGCCTTTCGTAGGCAGGGCCGCGAAGGGCCGGAGCCGGGAAAGAGCGATGAATTACGATCTCTGCTGGCGACGCTCACGACTTTTGCCGTAAAAGTCGTATGTGGCGCCTGCGCACCTCCTTTCCTTTTTCGGATTGTCGACTCCTTCGCTGTGCGGGTCCTCGCTGCGCCGCCTGGGCCGTCACCATGGTGAAGCTGAGCAAAGAAGCGAAGCAGAGGCTGCAGCAGCTCTTCAAGGGCGGCCAGTTTGCCATCCGCTGGGGCTTCATTCCTCTCGTGATTTACCTGGGTCAGTGGGAGAAGAACCTGTGAGGAGACGGGAGGGAAGGGGGTGTGGAGGCTGCGACTCCATCTTTGGCTTGAGAAACGTAACCACGCTGTGCAGGTCCTTGGAGGCTTTCGGATCAAGTGGGGTCGGTCTAAATTGAGTTTGAGTTCCTGTTCAACCTCTTAGTATTTTTATGGTCTGTAACCAGTCACAGAACCCCCCACCCCCTATTCTGTTTTTACATCTGTAAAATGGAGGCGACACACTCTGCAGGATTGTTGGGAGTGTTAGATTGTCACCTAATGTGTGTGGCAGCGACACATCTCTGGCACCAGGTGGGTTTTCAGGGCGTTTTCCTCGCCTCTCCAGGTGGGCCTAACTAGAAAGGGTCCTCTCGACGGGATGCGGCGCCGCCTTGAAGCATGATTATGAAAGCAGTTGGATGCTGGAGCTTGCTGACCTGTAGAAAGAAGGGCGAGGATTTCTATGACAGAACCCATTCTGCTGGCGAGGAAGCCGAGTTAGAGACGAGTTTTGCTCCTTGCCGTATGCCCCACAGCTGTTAAGTGGGGGAGCTATGAACTCAAGCAATGGGACATCAGACCCCGTATTCTTAACCTGTAGGCTGTACTGCAAAGATTTGTAAGTTGTTTTCACCCAGGGCTGCACCCTAGGACTTGACCCTATGTCTAGCCTTGGGTAGTTTTTTTTTTTTCTTTCTAGTCTTATTACCGGACTCAGGAAACATGGTAGAAGAAAAGAGCCCCAGTGCTGTCAGTTTGAGCATAAGTTTGACATTTTCTGAAACTCAGTTTTACACTTTAAAATTCTGTGGTTTTAACAAGGTGCTGCTTCCTATTTGTTTTAGATGTCGTGCATTGCTTAAAAGAAAGTACACGCTAAATCTTGACGGAGCCCTGGATTATGCTGGAAGTTCTTTAGGCAGCTGTGGCTCCCATTTCCCTATGGATTGCAAACCATATGATAATCTGGAAATACTTAAGTATTCAGGACTTTAAAAGATCTTTTCCCTCCCTCATTTTCAATACATTTTTTAAAAAGCATTAATTTCCCAGATTTTAGTGACTTTGTATAAGTATCAAGGATTAGGGTAAATAATTGACAGCCTAGTGGTACAGCTGTGCTCTTACCCCTCTTCCTCCCAAACTGCTACCCCCTCCCCAACTTTAAAATGGTAGAAGTGCCCAGTTTGGTTAGTGAAACAGTGGGACTACCTCTCTTAGCTAAGAAAGGGGGGGGGGGGGGAGGTTAGGGAGATTTGGATTCTTCCCCTCTATTGTGCCATTTCCTTTTTTCATTATGTATGTGGGATGATAATGCTTTTTCTCTTCCATCCTAGAGTTTGTTTCCCTTTTTGTGCACACTGGTTATGTTCTCTTTCCTAGGATTACCATTTATGTCTAACCTACTTCCCAGGTTGTTTCTTTTACTTCTCCACCTTGCCTCGTGCTAAAACCTACAATTGCAGATTGAATTTCTTGTGTAATTTTTTTTTTTTTTTTAGGTTAAAACATACTACTTTAGGGTTTCAGGGAGTGTAGTGGGATTATTGTGCTATAAAAATAGGACAGTGACATAAAGAATCAGTTTGGACATTACCAACAAAAAGATTTTAATGAGTCACCTGATGGAAGACAGTTTTCCACAGTGTCTTGAATTTCTGCAAATCTTGTGAACAGAGGCCCTGACTACCCTTTGTTCCATATTATCTGTTTAAGGATTTTTGTAGAATGAACAGCCTTGCAAAGTAGTACCTCCATCTAGAACAACAGGGAGACATGCTTACTGCCCATTATCAAAGATTCTGGTTCCCTAGACCAAGGATTGTCTCCAAAATGATGGTACTGTGACTAAAGTTATAGCTGGGAGTAATACATTGTTCTTTGTTTCTGACTTGGTATCTTGTATCTTCTACCTGCATCTGTGAAACTGGCAGGCTAGTTTGTTGTCTTGAAAAGGGGGTAAAATTTCATACCCCTCACAGTTCTTGATGCAAACTCTAATTTTAATCAACTATTTCAGCAAATTAACATACGTTGTCCAATTAATATATTTTAAATGGTAAAAGGTTTATTTAATCATACAGTGATACCTCGGTTCTCGAACGCCTCGGTTTTCGACCAAATCGGTATTCGACCAGGAGATTCGAGAAACTTTTGTCTCGGAATCCGAACAAATATTTGGAACTCGAACTTCCGAGATGAGCCGAGTTGAGCCGAATGGCGTTCATTCGGCCCAGCGCGCCTTGCTTGCGTCATCAGTGTGAGTGCAGAGAGAGAATCACGCTTTGTGGAGAGAGTCACGCTTTGTGGAGAGAGTCACGCTTTACACTGAATTTAACCCTTAGACATACTGTACACTTTTATTTCTTGTTGAGACTTATGTTTTTCTACATATTATATACAAATTAGGCCAGTAAATAGGCATTTTCTGGGGCTTGGAACGAATTAATCCAGTTTCCATTATTTCCTATTGGGTTTCATTGCTTCGGTTCTCGAACAATTTGGTTCTTGACCGTCCTCCTGGAACGAATTATGTTCGAGAACCGAGGTATCACTGTACTTGTAATAAGAATGTTAACTTAATTAGGTTGTGAAACAATAACTGGAATGCCCCCCCCCTTTTTCTATTACCAGTCTTTGATTGCTTTATAAAAAGAGGTTCATAGGGGATAAAATAAGATGTCCTCAATATATTTTTTTTTTTTTTAGTTTAGTTTCTTTAAAAAAATCTTTTTGCTCTTTGAAGTCTTTCATCCAGTGTGATTTGGTGGTTGTAATATCTTTTTTCTGGGTAATGACTAATAATGAAAGATAGTACATACTAAGGGCTACTATACTAATTGTGTATATAATAGCAAGAAGGTAGTTTGTCTTCCCTGCTGATTATTTCTGGACATAACTCATACTCGAGTGAAGATTGAAAATTGTTCTGTAGTACAGATGAATCTAGATAGAGTTGGTAGATTGGGATACCATTCCAGCTACCCTAGGTTATTGAAAAAGAAAGGTTTTTTTTAATCCTCACCCAAGGATATTTTTCCATTTATCTTCAGATAGAGTTGGAGGGAGGGAGGGATGGAGGGAAAGGGAGGAAGGGAGGGACAGAGGAAGGGGGGGGGGGAGAGTGAGAGAGACATCGATGTAAAAGAGACACACCAATTGGTTGCCTCCTGCTCAACCCTGACCAGGGCTGGGGACCAAACTGCAACCAAGGTATGTGCCCTTGACCGGAATCGAATCCATGACTCTGGTCTGCGGGCAATGCTCTAACCACTGAGGCAAACCAACCAGGGCAAAAGAAAGTTTTGATTGTAAAGTTTTTGCTGGGGTTTTAATTAATATTTATTCTCTTTTTCTCTCCTCTCTTCCCCTATCTTTCAGGATTTAAGAGGGGTGCAGATCCTGGCATGCCTGAGCCAACTGTTTTGAGGTACTCTTCTTACAAATAAACATTTTAGGGCAAATGTTCATATATTAGTGCTGAATCACTGGGACGCTGAAGAGCAGTAGTGGTAGGCATTGTGATGGAGCTTTCCCAGTCGGTGTAGTTTGGGGCTGTTGGAAAACTGCAGCAGTTTGCAGACCAGCTTAGCTTATGTTAGCAAGTAAGCACTTTCCCTAATTTATTTATTTATTTATTTAATCCTCACCCGAGGAAATTTTTTCATTTTTTTTTTGTTCAGATAGAGTGGGGGTGGGGGGGAGAAACATCGATGTGAAGGGGACACATCAAGTAGTTGCCACCCGCACGACCCCAACCAGGGCCAGGGACAAACTGCAACCGAGATACGTGCCCTTAGCGGAAACCGAACCCGGGTCTCTCTGGACCACAGGCCGACGCTCTAACCGCTGAGCCAAACTGGCCAGGCTCCCTAATTTTTTTTAAATTGATTTTTAGAGAGAGAAGGAGAAAGATAGAAACATCGATGTGAGAGAGAACCATTGATCGGCTCCCTCCTGCATGCCCCCTACTGGGGACTGATCCTGCAACCCGGGCATGTGCCCTGACTGGGAATCAAACCTGCGACCACTTGGTGCATGGGTTGATGCTCAGGCATTGAGCCACACTAGCTGGGCTCTTCCTAATTTTTATTTACTATACCATGTTTTAACCTTAGTGAAGCATATTTTTTTTTTAAATAAAAGGAAATTATCTTTCTGCCACTTGAAAAGGTGAACTGTTTTTCATTTCTCATATTTACATCTTAACCTTATTCAGATAAATACAACTTTTATATGATTCTAACAAGAGTACAAAAGATTTTATTTTCTTCACATAAAATTAGAGTTGATATCTCATACATTTTCCAGCTGTTGATTACTTAGGTTTTTATATTTTTCAATATTTAACATAACAATATAATGAACATTTTTATACACATAGATCGTATAGGTTTTGATTTATTTCCTTATGGTAAATTCTCATGGGATTGTTAAGTCAAATGTATGAACACTTATGGCTCTGAAAATGCATTGTCAAATTTCTTTCTCAGGAATTACCTTGCCAGTGTTTGATAAGCACTTGTGAAAACTACACACATGCAGAGTATAGATATTCATATACTGACACATGTATGTATATATGTATGCTTATGAAAACTATATGCATGTGTGCACATAGGTATATATATATATAAAGGCAGAATCTAGAACAGGCAAGTTTGCTCTGTAGAAGGGATTGCATCCCTGCACAGTTGCTGTGGGATTTCAGCTGGACCCTCTATTTTACAGACATTCTTGTGGTTTTCCTTAACAGACTTTTCACCAGTTGTTCTGGGTCTTTGGTGTCTTCAAACTTCTACTCTTAAGTTATTTTTTCTAGAATGTGCAGAAAATAAAAGCATTATTACTGACTGTCACTTAACAATGTATCACTCATTGTTTCAGGTGCTTTATATACAATATTTCTAATTGTCATTTCAGTCCTTCGGAGCAGGTCACAGTTGGTAGGTGGTAGAGTATGTCTGTCTCCAAAACCTACACTCTTTCCACTGGGTCACCTGGCCTCCCTTAGTTAATCTTACCTCTTACTGTACTTAGCACAGTGCCAACTGATAGGAATTTCCTCTACCCCTCTGCCTTGCCAGCCTCTTCTAAGAGGAAAGGTTTTTTTTTTTGTACCTGAGGTTACCACCATATGTACCCTCAACTTGTCCATTTTTGCAGTTATTCCCTAATAAAGTGCTGTAATAAATGATCTTCACCCACTGCTTCCTTTTTCACTTCCCTCTCTCCCTTTAACATCGTATGGTTAACCTTTATGCTATGGCTTCTTAAAACTGTTTTCAGAGATCACCACTAAGTTTCTTTTTTTTTAGCCTTTATTATTCTTTGAACTGCTGATTTCTTTTTTTATAAAATGAGGTCTTGAGGTAATGTATCTGCTATTTACTAGCCAATTGACCTTAGTTTCCTTAGGGAAACATTACCTTAGGAAACATTATCAGAGATGGGATGACCTGGTCAAACTGTGTGAACATTTTCTAAGCACTAGAGGAAGTCACCATCAGATATTTTTCCCCAAGAGGCTATTAAGCTTTTTAAGATGAAGTTTCCTGTTTTATAAGTTGGGTATAATACTACTTCATATGATTGCCAGGAAGATTGATTAAGAACCCTGTATGTATTTGGCAAGTAATAATGTGAATAACTGTTAATGGTATTTTAAAATCTTCTTTGTGTCATCTTTACCTCATTTCTTTCTCCTGTGGGAAGTATGCTCTAGCTACGAGATGCTGTTTGCTGGTCCCAGAATGAACTGTACATTTTCATGCCTTTGCCTGTATGCTTGTGCTCCTTCCTTTCAGTTTCCACTTGAAAACCTACTTCTAGAAAAGCCCAATTTCAAATGTCACCTCTTCCCTAAATCATTTTCCCCTTTTTCCAGCTGAAACCACTCTATTTTGTGTTTCCAGAGTGTTCTTTTCAGTCATTCTCTGCCTTATGTTATGCTTGTTGGGTATTTACATTATATTTTGTCCTGTAAGAACCTAAAGTAGCTGCCAACAAATGTTGAATTAATCAGTCAGATGACCCAACTTCTTGGTGGGTTTTTGAACAGGAATCTAGAGTATTGCTTCTTGTGGTATGATTGTTACACTGGACCTGCATGCTGGAAAATGGCATTTTGTGCCCAGGTGATCCAGGATTCAGAGGTGGGGTACAATGCACCCTTCTGTTGAACTTTTTGGCTTCCCACCAAGAGTTGACCCTAGTTGTAGACTAGATGGAGCAATCACCCCCTGCTTTTTTTTTTTTTTACCTTAAATGTCTTCTCAGTACTCCTCTCCTTTCTGGTGCTGACTCTCTTTTCTGTCATTAAGAGCATCTTCTGGTTTCCTTCCAGAAGTATCTGTGTTTAGGAAAGAACTGGCCGAATGCCTGCAAAGGCGACCAGTTACAGTGTTGCATACACTGCGCCGCCTGTGCTGGGAGACTGGCTGCAGCGTCTTCCTGGGCTGCCTAGTCTGTACCCTGAAAGAAACAGTTGTATCTGCCAAGGTTTTTATTAATGTAGAATTTATTGTTCATTAAAATCAAGTTTGTTGTTTATGTATGACTTTATATAATACTTATGTAAGTAATATAGCTCATGATTTACTGGTCTGTTTCCTTTGCTAGTAGTTGGGTTCCTTGGGATTAAGACCATGTTCGTTTTTGTGTCCTCTCACCCAGGATGGTACATTGTACATGGTCAACAAATGTTGGTTGATATGAATGCCTTATTTAAAATGCTAAGTGAAATAAGCCCATTAGAGAAAGAGAAATATCACATGATCTCACTTATATGTGGAATCTAATGAACAAAAACTGATGAACAAAAAAGGACCGGAGGCACAGATACATGGAACAGACTGACAGATCTCAGAGGGGAGGGGTAAATGGTGGGGGGGACAGGAAGAGATTAATCAAAATACATATATGCATAGCCCATGGACACAGACAGTAATGTGGGGAAGACCTGGGGGGTGGCACATGGAGGACATCTGTAATAGTGTCAGTAATAAACAAAGAATAAATGTCACAAAACTAAAAAAAAAAAAAGTGCTTTAATAAATAAGGGCAGTATCTTAGTAAACATTATTTAGGCAAAATATATCAATACTAAGATTAACTAAGAGAATCATTGTTCCCATTATTTGTATAAGGCCAAGGAAGATACTCTTTTTCTATATTTTGGGTGCTCATTACTACTGAGGAGGAGATCTTAATAGATGAATAATTTATTTTCATGTCTTAACTGTATTCAGAAATACTTGGGGTTTAATGGGAAAGTTTAATATACTTTTGAAAATTAGAAATAGATACATGTTGGGTTTTTTTCTCAGGTAAAGGGAAAATACTTTTTAAAAACAAACTTTAGAGAATATTCAAATTGTCATTTTGTAATGTAATTTTTATTGCCATATTACTAGAAATCACATCTTTAATAAAAAAGATTTAGAAATAAAATACCTCTTGCCTCTTTCCTGTATGCTGTTGCTTAGTCAGCAAATGATTCAGGAATTTGGGCTAGTTAGTGGCTGGAGTGTTTGGCATAAGAATTAGTTGAGGCAGAAATGAAGGCTAATTGCTCTTGGGATGTGTGTGGACTAATGGTTAAGAGCTCCTGAGTTATATCGCACTCTACCACTTGCAATATGTAACCATTCAAAGTCTCGGTTTCCACATCTTTAAAATAGGGATCATGGTTTTTTTGTCTGCTGCTCTTTTTATGTCTTGTTCCATTCTCCATGCTGAGGGTGGTTTCCTCTGCAAGTATCTCAGTTTCAGCTCCCCTGTTTGTTTGTTTTTAACTTTGGGTTACCCTGGTACTGATTTTAGCCACTTTATTTTTGTATTCTGCAATCAGACTGAAGTGTAATTCAAATACTGGAATATCCGATTGGCTCCACATGGGTCGGGTTTTCTGTTTTGTTCAGTTAGCTGTGGTCAGGAGACAGGGTTTCAGTTACAGTAGCTACATAGGCTCAACTCTGCAGAAGGAGGAAAGGGACACTTCCAAAGCATGGGCTGGGCAGCACACTTCCAAACAGGACTACTGTAAGAGTCTTTTATTGATAAATATTCTCATAAACAATTTGCCAGATCATTAAAGAGTCTTCATAGCCCAGCTGGTGTGGCTCAGTGGTTGAGTGTCAACCCATGTACCATGAGTTCGCCAGTTCAATTCCCAGTCAGGACACATGCCCAGGTGGTGGGCCAAATCCCCAGTGGGGGTCATGCAGGAGGCGGCCAGTCGATGTTCTCTCTCACTGATGTTTCTATCTCTCTCTCCTTCTCCCGTTCTCTCTCTCTAAAAATCAATAAAAAAAAGTCTTCATAAATATAATTTTATTGACCATATTTATTTAACCATTTTCCTTAATTTGGATAGTTAGTCGTTTCCTTTCTTTTTCTTCACAGTGGACAGATGTATTTGCTGCCAGCACACACATCTTAGAGATATTCTGCATTTTTGAGGGCCTTTAACTCATCTGAACTCATAGAACATCATAGAGGGTTGACATTTCTATAATTTGAGGTCACCTCCTGTACCTCTCTGGACCCTGATTTTGTCAGAATTGAGGGCATCATTGGCGACTTTCCTCCTTTTGAAGGCTATAACCTATCAACTTTTTGGACAGAATTTCAATCTAGTGAAAAGAGCCCAACTTTTTGGGTATTGAACATGTCTCATTTATGGCCAGTTTCTTCAGTTCTCTGAGTTTCACTTTCCTCAAATATAAAATGAGAAAACAGTCTAGCTAGTGTGGCTCAGTGGCTGAGTGTCGACCCATGCACCAAGAGGTTGCCGGTCCAATTCCTGGTCAGGACACAAACCCAGGTTGTGGGCCCGATCCCCAGTGGGGGTCATGCAGGAGGCAGCTAGTCGATATTCTCTCATCGGTGTTTCCCTCCCTCCCTCTTCCTCTCTCTAAAACCAATAAAGGAAAAGAAATAAAAATAGGGATCATAATTAGGATTTGTGAACTTTGTGTACAGTGTCTGAGCCATAGGAAGCATTCAATAAATGTTATTCTTAATTTTACTGGTGTTGCATCTAGTAATGGTACAGCTTTTTTTCCTGAGTTTATCAGTCCTTCATGTTAATGGAAATCATTAATCATTTACTTTTTATTGACTTCAACTTACATTTTCCTTTTTGTTTGTATAACAAGTAACCACTCTCAAAACTAACAAAATTGTATTTCTTTAAATATAGGCCTCTATGTTTGATTTTTTTTTTTCAATGAGATTGAGCCTTATCTTCTAGTAACTGAATTTGATAGATGAGTGAACACAGATGTAAATGTATAAAATCTTCTAGTTCTTAAACTATGTTTAAGAAGTTTTTACTTTGGGATTTAATTTATTTCTCCTCTTCACAAACATTTTAGCTTACTTTGGGGATAAAGGACTGTTTGGTCATCTGGATTTGGAAGCAATCAATGGACAGGAACAACACGGAAGGTGTTCACTCTGGCTGGGACAAGAGATGGGACATCGTTCAGACGTTCACCACTTGGATGGCACAAGGCTCTTCGCAGGTGCATCTGTGGCAGAGTGGAGCCTCTGCTGACTTATTTATGGTAGACTGTATCAAATAAATGTTTTTAACAGTGTTGTGTTGAGTCCTTTTTTAGTTTAACACAGTAGTATTGTTAGGTAAAAAATGTAGCCTTGCCTTGCGGGGGTTTGGCTCAGCAGTTAGAGTGTCAGCCCGTGGACCGAAGAGTCGTGGGTTTGCTTCCAGTCAAGGGCACATACCTCGGTTGAGATTGAGGTTTGGTCTGGCCCTGGTTGGGGTCATGCAGGAGGCAACTGATGGATGTGTCTCTCTCTCTCTCTTTTTTTTATTAATTTATTTTTGTTACAGATGTTTCTCCTTTTTTTTCCCCATTGACACCCTCCTCCCCATTGCCCCCCCCCCCGTTCCCGGCTTTGTTGTCCCTGTCCATTGGTTATGCATACATGCATATAAGTTCTGTGGTTTATCTCTTCCCTCCCCCTCCAACCCCCTCTTCTTAGACTTGTCAGTCTGTAGCCTACTTCCACGTCTCTGGGTGTACCCTATTCCCCAGACTGTTATGTTCATTATATTCCACAAATAAGTGAGATCATGTGATATTTGTCTTTCTCTGCTTGGCTTGTTTCGCTTAGGATAATACTTTCCAGGTCTCTCCATGTCATCTTAAAGGATAAGAGATTTTTCTTTCTTATAGCTGCATAGTACTCCATTGTGTATATGTACCACAGCTTTTTTATCCATTCGTCTACTGATGGCCACTTGGGCTGTTTCCAGATGATGTGTCTCTCGAATCAGTCTCTCTCTGTCTCTCTTTCTCTCTCTCTCACTGTGCCCCTCCCTGCCTCCCACTCTATCTGAAAATAAATGGAAAAAGATCCTCGGGTGAGGATTAAAAAAAAAAAGCAGGCTTTTAGTACCTTTTCAAAACAGGGAATCTATATTTGTGCCTACATGCTACCTTCAAAAGTTAGAGAATTTCCAAGTTAATGTCTTAACACATGTTTTCCAACTTCCCTGTGCATTGAATTAATAATTTCCCCGGGATGTTCTGAGGTAGTAAAAGTAGAAACAGCTCTCAGTCTGTGACAAATTGGGCCCTTACTTTCTGTACTGAATTGGAATACATTTCTTATTGAAAGAAGGAGGCTCTTTGGCTCTTTTGGAAGTTGATGGGATTAGCTTTGGGGAGTGTATGTCTGATTTATTTGTGATATAAAAGATTTCCCTCACTGGTGTTTGGGAACTAGAGCTGGCTGGGCAGGAGCCCACTGAGAGCTATACGGAGCAGTAGAGCTTTCTATTTCCTGATAGAAGAAAAGGCAGTTAATGGAACGAATTTTCAGTTCTAGATACTAGTTTCCTGGGAACTACCTGTATATGAAGCCTATTTATATTTTAAGCTTTTTTCATAATTCTAACAAAATATATTTACGTAGTTTTGGGAATTATAATTAATGTAGAAAAGTAGGCTTGAAGTAAGATAGAATCCTGTTTGGGAGGAGCCCATTGGTTTGAATATTTTAGCATCTAGTGTTTAAGTTGGGAATGATCATGAATGTAATTTCAGGTAACTGGAGTTGTCATTACCAGAAAGTTCTTGTTTCTAAGTAAAACCATTAGCTATTTAAACCTACTGTTTAAACCTGTTACCTTGGCCATGGAGATGTAGGAGACTGTTATTGAGACTTACTGCACAAGGGGGTTTTAAAGTGGAATTTTTGAGAGCTAACTGCAGGAAAACCATTTTTCATAAGCACTTAATATAATTACTTCTACATCATGAATCTTGGCACGTAGGATTTTGCTTAAAAAGAAAAGTAGTTAAATCCCACAACAACTCTTAGTTTTAAATCTCATAGAATTGCTTAAGATTTTGGCCTTCCACTCCTTTCTTTCTATTAAATTTTCGTGTTTTCAGTGAATTTTTTTTCTAGTTAGAATTTTAGTGTATATTTTCTCCCCTTTCTCATTCAGGATTTCTAGAAATTGAGGAAGTAAAGCTAGGGTAGATGTTCATTCTGATAAATACTAACATGGATGGTAAGCATAACTGGTTTTATATTTTAGGGGTTAACTTGTAGTGGTCTATAAAACCTAGTAGATTTTAATGAAAGGAATCCGGAATTAAGTTGTAAGGGACCAGTTAGTTCCCTGATCTCAGATCAGGAAGTTAAGGAGCAGAGTTTTAGTTCTTGTTCAAGACAGAATAAAAGCTGAGGCTAGCACATACATTAATGTGTGTGTATACCTTAAATTTGTGAAGTTTATAGCTAAGCTCCTATATTTTATTGAATTTTAGTTTTTAGGGCAGTGCCATCCAGTTCAACAAGCACTGGTCTCTTCTTGGATGGACACTAGAGAGGCCTTAAAATTAAGATATTCTTGACCTTGATTTGCTAAGGCAAAACCACTAGGCTGAGGACCTGATTGAGTCTTGGCACTGCTCTTAGTTCTACCCTTGCTGGAGAAGTCACTTAATCTTTAGGCTTCAGTTTCTTCCACAAAGTAGGAATAATAATAATTGCCCCAGGGCATTGTTTCATAAACCAGTGTTTCCCAGCTGATCCCAGACTAGCATGACCTAGAAACTTGTTATCAATGCACATTTCAGGTATGAAAACAGGGTGAGGCCCAGCAATCTCTGTGTATTTTAGTTACTTTAACCATTATTTTGAGTTAAGCTTATTTGTGACAATTAGGGAGTTGTATGCAGTGTAAGAAATGACAAAGATCCCTGTGCCCTTGGTATCCCCCAGTGGTGACATATTGTAAAACTATAGTAGAGGATCAGGATACTGACATTGATACGATCAGAACTCTTCCATCACCTCAAGGATCTCGTGTCGCCCTACTTTGTGCCGCCCTACTATAGCCAACCATCCTCACCACTCCCCACCTCATCCCTAAACCCTAGCAGCCTCATTTCAAGAAAGTTATAGAAATGGAATAAAACAAGGTGAGGCCCAGCAATCTGTGTATTTTAGTTTGGGATTAGTTTTTTTCCACTCGCCATAATGCTCAGTAGATTTATCTAGGTAGTATGTACAGCTGTCTGTGCTCACTATGCATTTAAGGTTCTGCAGGTGACGGATGGAGCTCAGATTTGAAAACTGCCACCTTAGACTCGCAGCAGCCCTCCCACTCCCCCTGCACATTAAAGTCTATTTTCTACATAATATCCAGAGTGATCTTTTTAAGTCAGGTCACATCCCATGTTGATGAGAACTTCCCAGTGGCTTCCTACCACTGGGAATGAAATCCTGAATCCTCTGTTACCTTCAAGACTATGGAATCTGGCCCTACGTGCCTTTGATCTCTTCACGGCCTAGTCATCTTTCCCCCATATTCACTTGCACTCTTGCTATTTTGATCTCTTATTATCCCTCAGAAAGGCTACACAGCTTCTTACCTTGGTGTTAGCTCTTCTTTCTGTTGGAACTCTTCTCCCAGCTGTCCACATGCTTAGCTTCTTTTCTTTATTGTAATCTGTCCAAATGTCACCTTGATGGAGAGGGCTTCTCTCATCCTTATGTAAAATAGCAAACCCTGCACCTATGCTGTCTCCCTTTATTCTCTTCCCTAACCTCACTTTTCTTCAAAGAACTTCTACCCATCTGGTCTTTTATATGCATGTAAATAAATAATCTTGACTCTCACTTCTAATATGTAAGCTCCATAAACAGGACTGTATTTTTATAGGCTAACACAGGTCCTGGCACATAGTATGTATTTAATAGGAATGAATGAATTACAAGATTGTATGAAGTGTAAAATGCTTTGAGACTGGAAACTCATAACATGAAGCACTGTACAGGGCCAGTATTTTTCTCTGTATCAGCCATAATTGGTAATATAGTCCCGCCAAGGACTTGACATCAAAAGATGTTGAGAGGAGGTGATGTGGGAAAGGGAATGTTTACTATGACTTGACATTTTATTCCTTTAGTCACAACACTGAAGTAGGGCGTTTCCATTTTGCAGATGAAACAGGCTTGGGTCACATCCCCCAAATCACAGAGAAATCTTGGATTTGAACCCAGATCTGCTAACTAAAAGCTCATGATTTTATTAGTGACATCACACTTAAAAACATTTTTTTTTTTTTTTTTTTTTACAACTGGTGAAATGTTATAAGAGACAATTACAATGACTACGAAATGTTAGCATTCAAGTTCCACAGAGAAGGCCACTATAGTACATAGAGTACTAGTCAAATTCACATAAATTTAACTTATTTGAAATTATCATGCTAGCTATAATGAACTCTAAATATTTCTTTTTGTTGTTATATGTCATAGAATAGCCTACATTTCTAGAGAGGTATATTGCACATACAATAAAATGAACAGATCTTAAATATGTAGGTTGATAACCATCATTTGTATACACCCTGTAACCACCACACCAAGATGGGGATCCAGATCTTGAACCTTGGATCCTTAGTGTATCACACATAGTAGATACTTAAGAGGTGTTTTTTAACTAAATGTAAACAACTTTTGAGGTTGACATAGATTAACTGTTTAGGGGAGTTTGAATTGATGTTCTCTTTCCTGGAAGAAGCAAAGATAATAAAAGTAACCGTCTTAGAACTTTGCTCAAAACCCTTCCCATTTTCTTAACTTCCTCATCACAAAGGCAAGGCTCTAGTTGACTTGTTCGCTGATATATCCCTTACACCTAGAACAGTGCATGGCCCTTGTGGGGTCTCAGTATTTGGTAGGCGAAGAAGTAGACATGGCATAGAATGTAAGATGCCTACCGAAAATCCATTTTGCCATCCAATCCTGAACATCATTGTTTTATATATTTTGTCCAGTGTATGGCAGATAAGGCTACCTCTAATACTAGCTATTCTGTCATGGTTGAGACTACAAGTCCAAGACAACTTTATTTTTTATTGAAAAAAAAAAGTTTTTTCTTTATTGATTTTAGAGAGAGGAAGGCAGAGGGGGAGAGAGACAGAGACTCATCAATGAGAGAAAACATTGACCACATCCTGCATGCCCCCACTAGGGATTTGGCCCACAATCTTGGCATGTGCCCTGACCGGGAATTGAACCAGCGACCTCTTGATCCATGGATCAATGCTCA